GGGAGTCTGCTTCTCTCTCTGACCCTCCCCCCTCTCATGCTCTCTCTCTCATAAATAAATAAAATCTTTAAAAAAAAAAAAACTGTAAAACATCTTTTCCTTCCTCATTAACACTTCTGGAAACTCTAACCTCAAAGGCTTAAAGCTGACTGCTCTCCAGCCTAGGTCTAAGAAAGCTAACAGCAAATGTGACCTAGTGTAAAGACCTGATGTAGTTCCTCAGAGTTCAAGTTCTACTTCAAAGAAATAATTGCAAGTAATTTTCTGAGAATGAGTCTTGTCAAATTGTTCTACCCACTTGCTAACTTAGAGATGCTAATTCCTTCCCTGGGTAGAGTGCTCTAATGTTGTCAGAACATTGCCGTCCAACATTTATAATTGCATCTGATTCTCACGTCCAATCCTTGTGTCAGGATAGGATAGGTTGTGCTCCCTCATGAACCCCCACAATCTCGGTGGATTAACACAACAAATATGTATTTCTTGCTTGCTCTCTCATGAGTCAGCTGGGAGATCTACCCCCCTGACATCTCTGTAGGATCTACACTGAGAGTGGCCATCATGGAACATGGCTGCTCATTGTGGCAGAGGAAGAGAGCATTCAGGAGTGTTCCACTCTAGCAAGTCAATGTTGCGCTCCAAAGTAACACTCTCATTTCCTCTCACAATTCACAGGCAGGATCTGGTCACGTGGTTGATCCTATCAGACACCGGAAGGCAGGCAACAAGAAATTGTTGAATAGATGTGGGGACCACCACCACATTATTTTACCCATTGTATTATGGAAAATATGAGAAATGGCAAGTTTCAGTGCTTTCTTAGAGTCCCCCAGAGAGTGTGGGCCTAGGGTTGTGGTGTGGTTCCTTCTCCCTGAGATGCCTAAAGAAGACTATATTAGGAGGCAACGTGGGTCTGGTTTCTCTCCTATCTCTCTGAAGCTCAACAAACCTGAATCGTCTTTGTAATGGTCCTACCTACTGGCAATCTCAAGGTCAAGGACTGAATGGTCAAAGAAACTGAATTACTGGAAGAATTTAGGGATCAAGTGGTAAAGGGATTTTTTTCTAAAGCAGTAGATTGTGTAAAGAAAGCGGCCCTTCCCTCTAGCCTACTACCTTATCCCCAGAACCAGGTAGAACTCTCCAACCAGTGGAATTGTAAAGCACTCAGTCCTTATCACTAATATGTGGTGTTTTTCTCTGAAGTCTTGAAGCTTCTACCCAGTAGTGTCCTGGAGCCTGCTCATATCAGCCTCCAGGAACCAGCTGCGAGCATCTTTTCCCAGCACCACATTTAGGAATATCACAGTGGTGCCTTGAAATTGGCCATGGTAGGAATATTTATACCACAGAAATTGGGAAATCAGGGCCTTTTTTCTCCCAGAGAGCTGGTTGGTAACTGTGTACATGTCTCCATGCTCAATCCTTCACATACAATTGGCTTTTCCTTCATCTTCTTGCCCACCACATGGGCATGCATGGATTCTTGAAGACTGGAGAGCTTCTCTGAGGAGAGACACTGTCTTGTCCCTTTTTAAAATTCTTCCCTTGCCCGACACACACTTATATGGCCTGTACTATTTGCCAGTCATCGTTCTAATTACTTACATGTATAAAGTCTCTAATCCCTGTGAGGAAGGCACTATTATTTTACAGATGAACAAATGGAGGCACAGAGAGGGTAGGTAACTTTCCCAGGTCACGCAACCAGGATTTGAACCCAGGTGGTCCAGCTCAAGCATCTGTACTTACAACAACCACACGCTACTGCCTCCCTCACAGAGCACATTATAGAAGAACAGGAAGATTTTGATTCATTAAAAAATGACATTAAACACCATTTTTCTGAATCTACAATGCGAATTATGCCTGGCAAGGTAAAGTAGATTTTTTCATTTAATATTCATTCATTGGACACTGGCTGTCTGCTAGGCTCTGTGCTAAGCGATGACAAGAATACAAGGATGACAGTAATAGGAGGTACCATTTACTGCACTCTTATGAAACAGGCCCTGTGGCAGGTGCTGAGGGCCTACAAAGATGATGATGACGACTGATAGGAGGACAGCACTAAAAGTTACATTACCTGAAGCCTTGATGTGTGCATCACACCGTGCTGCGTGTCATTACATTTCAATTTTGCCACACCTTGTGAGACAAATATTTTTCATTTTGTGCCCATTTTACAGGTGAGGAAACTGAGGCCCAGGGAGGTGTCAGAAGCCACACAGCACGTCAAAGAGCTCACAATGCAGGCTGCTCCTCTATAGTCTGTCTATCAGGCAGTAGAGGTAGGGGTTTCCCTCCATCACCTTCACTCACACCACAGCCAGGGTGTTCCATCTGTCTTCCAACTCAATTCTGAAAGTTTCCTTTTTGACATTTCAGGACAGCTCTGATGTTGTCAGTCCAACATCTTGAATATATAGTGAGAGGAAGTCCAGTAAACCAAAGACAAAAGATTTCTCCAAGCAGTTTGTAGGAAACATGAGTCACTGGCATTCCGAAGAAGCCTATAACAAGCATAGATGAGCATGATATTCATCAAGTTCAACACATGGTGCCACTGAGACCAGAAACTCATTACGTGCTCAGTAGGGAGCTGAAAACCAAAGTATGGACCTCTTCTTCCCATATACACCCGACTTTGTAATTAGAACCTCCTATGGGAACATTTTCAGTATGAACACAACTTTGAACTTGGAATTATCAAAGTTAACTTTGAAATCAAATGTCCCTATCAAATAGTGGGATAAACGTTTAAACAAATATGCTAGAACTTGAACTATTTGAATGTTTTTATCTTTAAAAATGATACCGTAGAAGGTTATTCTCTTGTTTAATAGTGTTAGCACTTAAAAATATCGATAGTCTTATTTTTGGATTTGTTTTCTGGTTCAATCTAGGAAACACACAGAAAATGCAACCCGGTGTGTGCGCACCCACACGCGCATGTGCGCACGCGTGTGTGTTACGATGCAGTCCATATTTCTGGTTCTCTTTAATAGCTCACGTTACTGAGTATGTTTGGTTCCAAATGACTTTATGCTCTTTCTAAAAACAAACTTTACCTGCCATCAATATTGTAACCACTAAGGGAGAGCCAAAAGAATATGCCCTGGGCTCTGCAGGGCAATTTCAAAAGAACAGTCCCCCAAATGACCTGAGGGAGAACTTCATTAAATATTCAAGCTGAATACCTTGAGGATAAACATTCTCATTTGAGCTTAAATATACTCAGTAGTAGGATTTTTAAAAAGCGTTTTCAGTCTTACTACTTTCAAAAAGATTTAAGATTTAAAGCAGTCATTGACCACTTAAATCGTCACATCAGTTTATCCTAAGACTTCATATGACCAAGTTTCAGGGTAATACTTGTTTGAATGTGAAGGAAAAAAATCAAGTTTTATGTTGAAGGATGTGAAAAGGAAATCTTGGAAGAAAAAGATCATAAAAATTCTTTATTGAAATATAGATTTAACATAATAAGATATGACAAACAACTGGGATAAGGCAAAATTATTTTCAATCCTTACCGTATGTTATAGAGCAGAATAGAGACAAATGCAGTGTAAAAAGACTGCAGGGACAAGGACAAGTGCCGGCGAGGCTGTGGAGAAGCTGGAGCATTGCTGATGAGAATGTGAAATGGCACAGCTACTTTGGGAAATACTTGGCTGTTCTTAAATAGGGCTGCCTGGGTGGCTCAGTCGTTAAGCGTCTGCCTTCAGCTCAGGTCATGATCCCGGCGTCCTGGGACCGAGCCCCGCATCGGGCTCCCTGCTCGG